TAAGGGAAACAATGGCCAATAGTCTCCTGGGCTACTGGTACTTGTCAGATTTAGAAGTAACTCTAAAGCCAGTTATGCACGTTTCTGTTTTTCTTGCTCAAACCGTGAGCTGAATGAAAAAAATACAACAGATTCCTCCATCATGGCTTACGAGCGTTGATGGATGAATCACCCACTGTTTGCACTGTATTCTGACAGCGACCGCTATCAGAATACCCAAATGAAACTAGCAGCCAAGCAGGCTGTTAGGCCAAGAATTTTCCAACCAGCTCCATAGATCAACTGATCGAGGCAAGCTGGGTGGAAGGGTGCCGACAGGGGCACCGACTGTATGAATTGCGGCATTTTCCTGATGAAATTCATTCTGTGTATACCCTACTTAAGAGGCAGGAAAGGGTACATTTTATTGCTAGACAAGTCAGTACATTTGTGCACTTTCACTGAACAAAATACTTGCATAGTTTATCTTAAGGAGTTTATTTATAACAGGTTCGCCCAGCGTAAGGCCTCATTCACACTGTAATCGGCCTGCACGTACAGCTCCGCGTTACGTGCAGGGCCGTACCGAGCAGCTTTCGCGAAGGACAGGTGCTGTGTGTGATTAGTACGCAGCCCCCATCCTTCTCTATGGGAGTACGCCGCCATACGCCCCTTATGCTCATCTCAAGTGCAGGTCCGTAGAGGTGCGTGTTTCCTGGCTCGGACGCAGACAGGATCCATCCTGTCAGCGCACGAGTACGCTCACACGCACGGGCATGCAGGGTGGGTGAGCGTCTGGGGGGCGTACGGCCACGTAGTCATATAGGGAAGGAAGGGGGCTGCGTACTAATCACACACAGCACCTGTCCTACCCGGGAGCCGCTTGGTATGGCCCTGCACGGAGCTGTACGTGCGGGACGATTACAGTGTTGGCACTGGGGTTACACATGGCTTGTAATTATTATCATATTTCTTCTGAGGTTGCAAGTCCCCCTCTGTTCCTAGCAACTTTAACAATGATCGTAAGACGTGATCATTCTGATCCTCTAAAGGTCTTACACTCAGTAAGCATGCCAACAATGGAACTGACATGTGACGCACAATGATGTTGATGTGCCATTGACATTAAAGCAGTTTGTATGTTTACAAAGGAAACTTGGACACTGACCAGGTAATAATTGCCATGAAGATGTGTACTGTGACCTTACAATACTTCTATGGCTGTTAATTCTGTGCAGTAATTATGAAATCAATTATGATTAGACATTTGTGTTATTTTATCAGTGTTATTGTTAAATGATCCATGTATTAATAATAATAAACCATCTATTAGTAATCTTATGGTTGTATGCCTTCTATGAAAGAGCTGCATATCTATAGCTGAAAAGACCCAGTCATCAAAAAAAATGCAGCTCCTTTATAGAGGAACCTTTAGTACACTACTTTATGGGCAAATGTTTCAGTGTTCTGACAGGTACAGCTCCAACATTTCCAGGAAGTGTCAGAACTTGCTTCTACCTTCTGACCCCTGCACATTCCTATTGGTCCAGCACTATGATGGGTTTTTAACAGCCAGTATGAATGTACAAGGGGCAAGGAGAGACAGGCAAGTTTCAGAACTTTTAGGAAGTTCTGAAACTTTGGGGTTGATTTACTAACCTTTTAAACACACCACGAACGTGTATACACCTCTGTAGTGTGTTCCCTCCCAGCATGATCTATGGGAGGAATCGAAACACCTTTGTAGTGTGTACACACCCAGCAGGTGTGTTGTGCAAAGCCCTGCAATTAATTGCAAGGTAATGTGGTGTAAATTAGCTCTATGTTATGTTGCTTGCGTTGATGAATGCAGGAATGTAAATGCATGAGCTAACCATTTTTGTCTAAACTGTGAAGCAGCATTATATATGCATCATGTGCATGATTTTTCCATATATGGCATTAGTGGAAATATGCTTTTAGAGACTTTTGGTTGATAAATACAATTTGCTGTGTGAAAATCACACACACCTGGTGTGTGTGTGTGTTTAGGTTAGTAAATCACCCCCTTTGTGTCAGAACAGCCCAGCATTTGTCTGTAAAAGCTGCATCTCACAGGCTGCTGCAGGTATATGCCAGCTGCTCTAGGTATCAACACTTTATATTAAAGCAGTTTTTAACTATTACAAATATATGGCAAATATAATTGGGTAAACCAGCATTTTCTTTGTGACCATTAATGTTCCAGTATGCTAGCTTTATGAAATAGCAAACAAGATAATTAAGAGATAAGTTAAAGGCTTTAGTGCAGAATAACACATTTGGTGGTATCTTTTATAGCTACCAATACATCAGACCAAAAAGAGGGACAACTGAGGAGAAAAGAGGGACAGCGATTTGTTTTCACATGAAGGATAATCCCTCCGAGTGAGAAACAGTTGGGAGGTATGAACATATGCAGAGTAGGGCTTTGAATCTTCTCTAGCATTACTGATCTTCATACTTCTTCCAGGTCAGTGACTCAGAAACCTTTAAAGACAGTTGGTCAGCATAACAGCCAAAGACCTTGTCTTTTCTGAAAGAAGTCAACAATGGCAGCTGCTGTATTTTCATCTGGATTGGTTTCTCTTTACTAAAGTCTCTCTGGACAATTTTTGCGGTGGGTGCCCATACAGCACAAAGCAACTTTTATTAGCATTGTCCCCCGATGCTCCACAGTGACAGCTAGCTAGCAAAATATTTATCTTTAGGCCCACTGTCTAGTTCTTCACTACCCAGCCCCCATTCATTCCAAAAGCTGGTCTGTACTCATGGTGGCCCCCAGCTATCCAGAGTGGTATGGATCCATTAATTTGGATGTAGGGAAAATTTAAAGGATAACTTCACTAAATGGAAACCAGCTTATTATGCTTGCTTTCAAATCACTTCCTATTACTCTGTTCAACTGCTGAGAGTGAAGAAAAATATCCGGTACCTCTGGTTATAGGGACCATATGATTCACTACTCTTCACACCACATGATACAATTGATAAATGGTCATTGGCCACTCAAGCAAAAAACATAGTCACATGGGTGCAGAGAGAACCCTTTTTAAGCTCCAAGTTGTGAAATGTTTAACACAGGGCATTCTTTCATCACTCCGGTGGCTGAATGGAGTGGCAGAGGAGTAAAAGGTAAGTATAACAGCTAAGGTGACCTCCAATTAAGTTTACCCTTTTATTTTGGTCTGCATGTATTCATGGACCTAATTTAACACAGTGAGATTAATTTACTAAAAAAAGAAATGCTTACATGTGATTGAAGTGTACAGAACTTTTTTTTTAAGGTAACTGAACATTCAAATTTGCAAAGTGAACTTTTTGTACCTGTAATAAAATAATCTAATCAAGTACATGTTTGGGTTTAAAAGAGTACAAGTCTTAGCACTAGAAATGCTAGCTGGAATAAAAATACATATTGTAGAATGGTTCTTCTATTTGGCTCCTTTTATAGTAACGCCCATGCTAGAGCCGCAGATAGTATGAGCAGATATAAAATATAATGATAGAAACCCATAATATGAAGGCATATTTGAAGCCTATTTGGATAGATATACATTTGTAGATAAAAAAAAACAACCACTAGTACCACCCATTGTAATTCCTACTGAACATTACTGCTGAGAAGAGTTTTTATCTGTTGGAAGTACTTTTGATGCTAAATAGATGATCCATTGTAGAAGCCTAACACAAAGCAGGTGTTGCATAGCACGCTAATGGAACCACATGCAAACCACACATTGATCCCTCTGTGGTACGTGGATTTAGTGAGCACTATTCTTTCTCTTTACAGCTAATCCTTACTACAAGTATACACACTGCTGTATTATCTGTTTGGCAGCCTCGCATCCTGTCGGTAATGAACATGCAATAAACACAAATAAACTGACTGTAAGGAAGCAGCTTATTTCAGATTCCCAGGAGTCTGCTCATATGAGAGGTAAATACAACCATAAATAAACTAAAGGTAATATTATGATGTAGCCCCCAACAAAGGGAGCCTGCTTACAACATACTGCGTGTTTTACACAGGAAAATACACGCTGAGCTCCAGGAAACAATTATTTCAAATTTTTGTTAACAGTATTTAAAAGCGTTTGCTTGAAATTCACTTTTGTGCTACATGATACTCTGTAGCTGATTCATGAAGTCTGGTGAAAATGAACAAAAAGGACTGGTTCTAATGGAAACCAATTAGAAGTTTTTATTTCCTATGGAATTGGGTTGCATTGGGAAATAAAGCACACAATTTAATTAGCCGCTCTGGATAATACCTTCATATTTATCCAGTTTCTTGTACCAGTATGCATCTAGAGAAAAAGAGCACATATCTGTATCTTCTAAAGCTTTTAAGGCAGGACTATGGGTCATTTTAAACATTTGCATGAATACATTTCTAACATGATACAATATATAGCAACCACACATATTAAAAAAAACTGCACCAGTTACCTTTAAAAAGCAGTCCCTGAGCCCCAGCCAAATGATCGTGCCACAGCACAGCCTTACAAACACTACCTATGAGGGGCATTGAGAATACTGCGCAAGCATGATGTCATCATTCCATCTCAGCCAGATGAAAGCATTTTATCAGATGCTTCCTCTTACAGTGATCACTGACAAGACTTTACTGTACATTGAGGTAGCTGTATACACATAGCCAAAAGCATAATGGCTTCTGCAAAGACACCAATATTGGCATGCTTCCGTTATTCCTAGGCCAGCATTTTAGTAGATGTAGCTGTAGACACTGACCCTCATTTTTAGCTAAAACAAGAATCCCACATACCAACACAGAAGGTAAAATGTGCTATCAGACATACTGTATGTTCCTGTCAGTGTGGTGTATGAAGCACATCAAAAATGTTGTGCTCTAAGGGTCTAAGAGAATTAGGATGGCCCAACACAAACACAAACTTCAGCAACTTGTTAAAAACCTATCCAATTCCTTACAAATTTTCAGGAAAAAAAAAATGATCTCTTGCCCATGGGATGAAACTTACCTGTTCAGGAGGTGATCTTCAAGGTCACATCTTTGAAGGACTTCATCACAATATTTGTTTAAGGGGCAAGCAACTGAAAGTTTATCCAGCAAGTTCTTTACTAACACAGTAGACTTTTTGCAGGTCTGCAGCATGATGTGCTTCCTATCCATAGGGCAAAAGTTCTCATGTATAAGGAAGTTTGTGAGGCAGAGGGTGCAGAATGTGTGCCCACATGGAGTGTCCAGAGGTTGTACCAGTGCATGAAGACAAATGTGGCACATCATATCATCATCCACTTCTTCAATGTATGAGTAAAAATGGTTTTCTTCTGTGGAATGTTGCTGTCCACACACAGTGCATAGTGGCTCAGGAAGGGCATTATCCAATACTTCAATTTCATTACCAATTTCCATGACTGATGTCTAACTGAAAGTATATATTCCAAAATGACAGCTGGCAGTTGCCACTGCAATAAGAATAGAAGATTGATGTGTTATACAAGAGGAGAAAAAATGCAAGAAACAAAAAAGAATATTCTGGCTAAACTAAATATTCAACTACAGGTGGAATCCAGTGTGTTAAAAAAAAAATACTGTAGTCTTAAGGTGGCCATTGACAGTGGATGGTGATGACCAAACCAATCTGTTTCCTTACTAACACACTAACTAACAAGCTTGCTCATATCCTATTCCCCATTCTTGGATTGGAGCTAGAATAGCTACTGTCCAAAAATCAAACCATAATAGCAGACTCCTCCCCAATGATATTTATATGTGATATACAGCATATGGGATATGTACTGTATATACACATAGCGAGATATTTGGGCACTCACAGGTCTTCACAACACATACTGAAAATCAAAGTTTTAATCAGGACTTGTCTGGTTCTCTTGTTTCTGATGTGTTTACCCCTCCAAGAGAAAATCTTTGTTATAAGCTCTAGAGGCAAAAATGGGAAAGAATAAGTGCAAATTTCTGTACATTTGCCATTGTCATGCCATGATCATTCTCTCTGTTTGTGGAAAAACTCATGCTACATACACTGTATATTAGTTTTTAAAACTGCACTTTAGACAGACAGCTAAATAAACAGTTGACATATACTGTATGTCCACAAACTTACTTCCCAAAGGATTTCTTCTAGGTAGCACAAACCAAATCCTGGATCTCCCTGCATACTGCATTGCTTGTAAGCAGTATGGCCTGATTAAGGACCTGCCCCAGCTTGTGTCTGGACAATGAAGGATAAGCAGATGACTGATACTATTACTCTGCTCCTCTCCTGTTCAGTATGTTAGGATGGCTGCAATGGAGTCCTTTTGGCTGCCTTTCCCAGTTTGACTTTTTTTGTGCAGGAAATTACAGAAAACCCACATCAAGACAGATTTAGTAGCCATGTTAGCTGCATGTAAAATTCATTATTTTAATAATTCATACATGCAAACATTTTTGGTTTTGTGTCTAAGAGAGAAAGTGTCAGAGAGAGGAATCAAACACATAGGGGTCTATTCACGAAGCTGCCGAAGAATCTACCATAGCTTCGGCCGATCCTTCGGCTAGCTTCGGCCCCACAATAGAAGCCTGAAGTGAATAGCCGAACAGTGTTCGGCTCACTTCACTTCAGATCGGTCATTCACTCGGCTGCCCTCGGCAGGTTCGTGAATAGACCCCATAGTATTGTTTCATGATTTTCTAAGATTTGTGGACTGTAGGGTTATATTACTGTACAGTATATTACTAGACTATGACAGCCAGAACTACAAGAGCATCAGCAACAACCTCGGGCCATTAGTCCTGTATATTCCATTTACTATCACAATATACCATTCAGTATAGTCACTCCTGGGGAATGTTGTTTGTTGTGATTTACAGCATTTCAAAGCTTAATTACATGTCATCTCATATAAGATAATGAAAGATGACAGTTGCCCATTCAATATATCTATACTGCATTTTTCTTTTGATGTGCTTACATATTATTCTACAGCACAAATCACTTAGGAGATACATATGTACTAGTACAGAAGTTACAAAGGCTGGAGAGGCACATTTTATTCAGTATAAGATCCGCCCTGTATGTCATAAAGGAGAGTTAGAAGAATGGATTGCTCCCATTTCAAGTGCAGCACTAAGAAAGAGAGTAATAATCACCAGAGGGATCTGAGCCAAAAAGGAAATAACATCTAAACCAAGTGTTTCATAATACAGATAAGAAAAGATGAACATAAAAATCCTTAGAAGCAGATTTCCCATTTCTAAAACCATCAAAGGCTCAGTGGGAGAATTAGTAAAGGTTACCATTTTTATTGACAGGAACCTGTAACATTAGATGGGAGTTAATATATCATGGCATATTTCTGGACTATCATCATTCCATCAATGACATAATTATTCTTTCTCTCCTGAGTAACAGATCATTTATTCCAGCAGCAGTAGAATGATTTGACAGTTTAAGGTTTCCAAAAGTTCTGACATCTTGCATGTACAGGATGCTAGAGCAATATGTATAATCTTTTACTCACGTTCGCAATTCCACTACCATCTGCTCCCTAAAATTCCTTTATTTCTGTGCCTGAATAGAAATGACAAGAGAATAAAAATGAACCACAATGCTATTATTACAATGATCTAAAAAATACAGGTAAACATATGAGATTTATGACAAACGGAAAAGAAAAAAAATGGGCTGTGGGATTATGACATTTATACAAAAAAAAAAAATCATCATTATACAACAGTGGCAGCCATCTTCTGGACTGAACTTATATTTCATAGAATACGGCTAATCAATTTATAAATCAATCAATTTATAAATAGGTAAAGTTATCAAGAGAGCACCATCATCTTTCAATGATTAAAGTCAGTGCTGTAAGCTGAGAAGCTTGTGGAAGACATGTATATAGTGTGAAGTCTGTAAGATGGTTACACATCAGCCTCACTTTGACTCCTTCTACAAATCTATATATATTTGGCTCCTATTCATGGCACTGAGGATAACATCTCCAGCACATTTAGATAGTACATAGTAGTTAAAGCGGAAGAGTGAAAAAGAAAGAATTGCGGTAGAGATTTTTGGCAGGAGAGACATGCAAAGTCTCTTTTGCCCAAAAAAATTCTCTTTTCCCCCAATAATTTGTCATTTATCTCCAAGATGCTGTGAATAGGTTGGGTGCCGGGAGTATGTAACACTTGTGTGCATGCATAGAAGTTACATCATCAGTGGTCACCCAATGGCTGAGGAACACAGAACACACACAGAACCAGGAAGTGGAAGCAATGGAGATGGTGGAGGCAGGGGAAAGAGTGGGGGACTGAAGATCAATCCGACAGCACTAGAGAAGGGCACACCTGTAAGGTAAGGAGAAGGGCAAAAACCGACCCACCGCACAGGGCTATATGTCTGTAAATTTTCGAAGCAGACACCTAGACAACTGCCATTGTAGCACTCACCTCTAAAGGAGCTGCTGGAATTTTACTGGCTCCTACCTATCCTTATGGTGAATCACCAACACTACAATAGAAACATCAGGCTTCAGGCTTTAGTCTTCCTTTACTTTTATTGGCTCAATAAACTTGTGGAGAGAAGGTTAGGGGTAAAGGATACCCCAAAACAGCAAACTATCCCAGGACTTTTTATGTCAGCAATAGAAACATGGCAATAATTTCTTGAATAACCTCTCAATATTATCAAAGTTGATAATAGCGCTAATGTTTTAGTGCCAACCTACTAGTTACAAATTGATTCTTCAGTAGCAGTCTCCCTGTTACAAAGGATCCTTTAAATACCTCTATTGGTGCCCCTAGATATTGCAGTAGCATTCTCCCAATAGGAACTGGTTTTCCAATTGGGAGAACATGCAACCAATTACAGATACCTTAAAGAGCTGAGTAATGAGGTCTCCATTCCATGTTCATCCAGCAGCAGCTTCTGCAAAGGTCTCCTGGACATAATTATGCATAGCAGACTCCTCTCCAGATGCTCCACCAGGCAGCTAACTTCCTGATTCTCCAGGCCCTAACACAGGCAAGCTTAGCTGGGCCTTGGCTTGGGACCCTGGCTAGAACCAGGCCCCAAGAAACAAAATCTTCCCACACTGACATGCTCTCCAGGCAACTTACAGGGACAGGTTGCTGGAAATATTTCTCTTCCACCCTTAACTCACATCACTGCAATAATATTTGCAGTGGTTGGCCAAGACAAATAAGTATTCAAAACTCAATAGATTGTTTCCACTGCCACTAAATACTGGAGAAAACTCAACAGCAGCAGGCAAAAATAACCAATGAAACCCATAAAACATTATACAAAACTAAGGCAGGTCACAGCCACAAAAAAGTAAACTAATGCAGCCACCACATCTAAGGACTGGTAAGTTGCAATATGAATACATATTTGTTCTTGGGTTTATATGTATATTTACCTTAAGCAACAAAGGTAGGTAACTTCCTAATCCTTAGCTTGTGATTGGACAATGACTGAGCATCAGCAGCTCATCCATCTGTCACTCTGCTTTCCCCTTCTGTTAGCATGTTTCTTATCAGCGCATTTACAGCAGACCTGATTGGCTCCTAGTGCTGCCCTTCATGCTGCACAGAACATTGCAAGAGGTTGACACCAAATCTAGTTCAGGTAGCTATGCGAGCTGAATTTAAAAATACAAATAATTTGTTGTTAATTAATACATGCTGATCCAGGGTTTGTCCACTTTTCCATTTTCATGCAGGCAAGTGACAATCAGGGCCGGATTTCCCACAAGGCCAACTGAGGCCCATCCTCAGGGCAGCAGGGAGTAGAGGGGCAGAAGGGGTGTGGAATTCCTATCTCACGACGCCTGGGACATGCAGTTCCAGGCGCCGGACGGGCAGTTTTCTACATTTAGCCCTGCTTTAGACAAGCAGAGCTAAATGTAGAGCGGGGAAGCCGCCGCTCGTTATGTACAAGTGATAAAAAAAGTAGGGCTGCGGAAATTAACGATTAATCCCTCGATTTATCGTTAATTTTTTTTAAATTAAATTATTTTGATCGATCAAAGTTCTTTTGATCCGTACTCACCTCTCCGCCGGCTTCCGGGTCTTCCGTCGGAGATCCGGTGACGTCACGGACATCGACGTCACCGGACTCCTCCCCCCTTCCCCAAGTGGCTGTCAAAAGAGATAAAGAAAAAAAAAGTAAATATTAAAATCAACCCTGCCGCTCCGCCATCTGGGGGGAAATTTGGTAGGGAGGGGGGAACATTAAGGAACCTGGCCTTGGGGCAGCAGAGAGAGTAAATCCAGCCCTGGAGACAATCCTTCCTTCTCTACAGGACTCCCCACTACTAGGTGGAGTTATGATTTGTTGGGAAAAGTCCTGCATGCTGCTTTTCAATATATTGCCATGTATGGTCTACTGAATGCGATCCACCATCAGC